CCCCCCCCACGTCCCGACTCCGAACTCCCGGTCCCAGCGGACACCCGCTCCGCCCCTGCCCGTCCTCGTTCCCCAGGGGTTCGCCCCTCCGCCGTGCTCGTGGTAGCTGCATACGTTGGGGTCCAGGCGCCTCGGTGGGAGGCCGCCCTCCCTCTTGCCGCAGTCGCCCTGGCAGGCCCCTTAGTCTCCGCGCGCCCGGCCACTGCCCCGGCCTACCGGCCGAGCAGCCCCGCAAGGCCCGGTCCCCGGGCGCAGCTCTGTCCCCAGGGTGCCTCCCGGATGGTGAACCCCTCCTCCAGGGCCCCCTCCCCCGCCCTCCTGCCGCAGCCCCCGCAGCCCCGCTCACCTGGCCCTGGCGGTAGTAGTAGCTGTGCTCCTTGGGGTCCAGGCGCCGCGGCGGGATGTAGCTGAAGGCCGACAGCGCCGAGATGGGCGGCGGCCGGGTCTTGTCCCGCAGCGTGGCTGCAGTGATCTCCTCCTCGTCGTCCTCCATGCGCGCCGGCCCAGCGCTCCGGCCGCGCCGCGGTCTGTCCCGCCCGCCCGGGGCCCAGTCCGAGTCCGCCCGCGCTCTGCTCCCGCCGGCGCTCGGCCCGGCGCCCGCGTTCGGCCGTTGCATGGAGACCGCGACCCGGCTGCACCGGTCTGGGCCTGGAGGCGCCGCGCTGGGGGTGGGGCGACCCTCCGCACCTCCCTCCCGGCACCTCGAGCCACACCTGGGTCGCCCTTCCTTCTGCCGCGGGAGGCGCTCAGCTGCTAAAGCGGCGGCGTGCGGGGTGCGGGGGGAGACGCCGCGGGGACCATCCATTTCCAACCTGCTTCGCCTTTCCGGTGCAGTGTTTGTTGCGCTTGCTCACGTGGCAGTTAAGGACCGAGCACCTAGTGTGTGCCAGGAGCTGAAGACACAGCCTAGAACCCACGGCCCCTGTCCGCAGGGAGCTTGCACAATTTGCTGGCGCAGATGACAAGCGTGACGACAACTTGCAGAGGCTCTAGGGCAGCGCTGTCCAACACGAGAGCCGCTCGTGTAATTGGATATTTTCTGAATAACCACAATTAAAAGGTATTAAGACACAAGCCAAATAATTGCCATAATTTATTATTTAACTCAATATGTCCAAGACATCATTTCAACATGTGGTACTAGCCACGTTTCAAGTGCTTGGTGGCCACATGGGGCTAGCAGTCACAGTATTGGCCAGTGCAGGTGTACATCCAGGAATTAAATCGGTGTGATGGGGAATCTGACAAAACTTGCTCCTCTGGGTGCGGCTCTAGCGACCCTCTGTGAGAGTGGTTATGGTGGCCCTTCCCTGACCGCTGTTTCAATAGTTGTGATCACTAGCTGAAAATTCGGAGCTGTAAATTCATGCTGTGTGTATGAGCACATGGGTATCGCCAAGACGAGTTTAAGAAAGGAGGAGGTACATGGTGACCAAGACTTGGGAAGTTAGCACTTCAGCGAGGGTGCTCAGGGGAGGCCAGCTCTGAGGAGGTGGCATTTGAGCTGAAACACGAGGCGGAGCCAGACTCGTGAGAGTCTGCAAAGTCCCTTCCAAGCGCAAAGCAGAGCAAGCCTGGCGCCCATGAGGCAGAGCCCATCTGGGTGTGTTTGAAGGGCAAAGGGTGGTGGTGGTGGAGGGGGTGGTGGAGCTTCACGAGGGACGCGAAGGTGGACAGGTGGGCAGGGGACCAGATGAAGAGGTCTAGGGCACACCACAAGGAGCAGGGTCCTGCCTTCTCCCCACCTCTCTAACTTTTAACTAGGTAGGAATCTCTCGTCTGCAATTCCTTGATACAGGCTAGTGGCTTAAGATGCTTCTGTCAGTCCAAGGCACCTGGCGGTCCTGCTGTGCAGAGGTCTCCCGAGTCTTCTGGAGGTTCTCCTGGGCAGATTTAAGGCATCCCTGTGCTACCTCTCAATCTCTCTCTCTCTCTCTCTCCCTCTCCTCATCTTCCCCCCTCCACATGTCTTCTTTGCCCTAATAACACATATCTTTGCTCCACTGACAGAACATATGAGTTGGCTGAGTCAAAGGTCAAACACCTGCCCACCATGTCCCCAAGCCCCAGGGGACATATCAACCTCATTGAGACCAGTTGGAGATGCTGACATTTCACTGGTGCTTGGAAACAGAGCACCATTTCTCCTATGCAGGTAGTGAAGGAAGAGGGGCTCTCATCCTTCTCCCATGGGCAGAAATCGTGAAAATGACCCATGATTTTTTGGCCTCTCCCATCTCTCTCAATATTTC